ACAGCTCACTGGGCTTGTGATCCTGTGGTCCCTGGGTTCGATCCCGGGCGCCGCCGAGAAACAATGGGCGAAGTTCCTTTCACCCTATGCCCCTGTTACCTAGCAGTAAAATAGGTACCTGGGTGTTAGTCAGCTGTCACGGGCTGCTTCCTGGGGGTGGAGGCCTGGTCGAGGACCGGGCCGCGGGGACACTAAAGCCCCGAAATCATCTCAAGATAACCTGGAGGTAAGGACACACCTGTCATCTTCCAATGCTACCCACTTGGGCTGGACGGTAGAACGACGGTCTCGCTTCATGCAGGTCGGCGTTCAATCCCCCAACCATCCAAGTGGTTGGCCACCATTCCTTCCCCCCTCCCCCGTCCCATCCCAAAATCCTTATCCTGACCCCTTCCAAGTGCTATATAGTCGAATACAGACGTGGAGTCACAGTAACGTGGCTGAAGTATGTTGACCAGACCACACACTAGAAGGTGAAGGGACGACGACGACGTTTCGGTCCGTCCTGGAAACACAATCGACTTTGATAATGGTCCAGGACGGACCGAAACGTCGTCGTCGTCCCTTCACCTTCTAGTGTGTGGTCTGGTCAACACTATACAGCCGTAGTGGCTTAGCGCTTTCCCTTGATAGTTCCCTTCCACCCCCACACCCCACACCTGACTACTAACTCGCCCCCACACCTGACTACTAACACACACGTGACTACTGCTATAAACAATATCTTTCTCTTGTGGCCCTTAATATAACCTTCGTCAACCCCCCCCCACCCCCCCTACCCCCCCACCCCCGCACACTCCTCCAACACCTTGATTGAAAAAAAATTGTGTTTGGAGCGAGAGACTCTTAAGTGGCCCGAACGTTGGCGATATGGCAGAGTTCACGGGCTTGTGGGGCGGGACGGGCGTTGATTGGTCGCTTGAGGGGCGGGATGGGCTTTGATTGGTCGCTTGTGGCGCGGGACGGGCGTTGATTGGTCGCTTGTGGCGCGGGACGGGCGTTGATTGGTCGCTTGTGGGGCGGGACGGGCGTTGATTGGTCGCTTGTGGCGCGGGACGGGCGTTGATTGGTCGCTTGTGGGGCGGGACGGGCGTTGATTGGTCGCTTGTGGGGCGGGACGGGCGTTGATTGGTCGCTTGTGGCGCGGGACGGGCGTTGATTGGTCGCTTGTGGGGCGGGACGGGCGTTGATTGGTCGCTTGTGGGGCGGGACGGGCGTTGATTGGTCGCTTGTGGGGCGGGGACGGGCGTTGATTGGTCGCTTGTGGGGCGGAGACGGGCGTTGATTGGTCGCTTGTGGGGCGGAGACGGGCGTTGATTGGTCGCTTGTGGGGCGGGGATGGGCGTTGATTGGTCGCTCGTAAGCACAAGAGGCCCTGGTTGTTTACACGGACTGATCAGTCGTCTTCCACTGGGACAAATACTGTTCCCCATCTGCCAGTCCTCGGCCTACTGTTACGAATTAGGCCTACCCCAATTAAGGCAAAGGGAGCCTAATTTACCTAAGATCTTTCTGGTCCTTTGCTAAACTTTGTTAGTGCACACGTCGACGCCGGGGCGGGGAAGGACCAATCACAGCTCAGTCTGTCCCACAAGCCACCAATCGCAGCTCTTCCTGCCCCACAAGCCACCAATCGCAGCTAATCCTGCCCACAGACAGCCAGTCAATGGTGGCTACTCGTGCACTCGCCTGGATTATGCTCACAAGCAACACCTTCATCTCACTTCTCATCTTCCTTTATTTAACTTCCTCCAATCCTTTCCGTGCCTTCTCATTCCCAGTCCATCTTGCTAGTGACCATTCCTGCCTCCCGCCAGCCTCGCCCTGCCGCCAGCACCAGGAGAGGACCAGCGCAGCACACACACACACACACACGTCCTCCACAATAATCACAGCTGTGTGTGTGATATAATTAGTTTTACGGCAGGTGGTAAAGGAGTTACCTCCGAGGACGTCTGTCTGTCTGTCTCTGTGTGTGTCTCCCTCTCTCATATCAGTCTTGCTTAGACTTAAACCTCGGCCTTCTCAAACTGTGTGTACTTAGTTGTACTTGCGGGGGTTGAGCTTCGGCTCTTTGGTCCCACTGAGACTATTGGGCTCTATCATATGTATATTTTTGGCGGGTGCATGGGATGGACTTTGTTCATGAGGACGGGCTGCATCAGCTGTTAGTCGTAGTCTCGTTCTCGACTGACTCGGGGATCCCGGGTTCGAGTCTCAGGCGGGACAGAAATGGTTGGGCACCTTGTCTTTCCCTTAATGCCTCGTTTTTACCTAGCAGTAAATAGGCACCCGGGAGTTGGGCAAATGTTGTGGGGTTGAATCCTTGGGAAAAGGTCAGTAGCTCCACCTTAAGGTGTGGGGAGGGGGGGACCTCGCTACAAGCTTAAGGTATATATATAAATACACACACAGGCTTCCTGTCCCCACGGGAGACATCTCCCATCACGCAGGGTGCAGTCGCACCTCCACTGATCTCCAGCATCAGCTAATGATTCTGGTAATGGCTCAAAAGGGCCACCACTTATGGGCTATTCCTGCCCGTGCCACCTTTTGGGTGGCTTAATCTTCATCAATCATTCTGTCCCCGACAAAATTAGTAAACTATTGTAAACTGGGGACTGGGCGGCTCCGTGACCTTAGGTGATGACTTCGGACTGTTACACACCATTAGTGAAGTGTGACCGAGTCTCCAGCAGGGCTTCGCTCGTGAACAAATCCACAAGGGCCGTGACGAGGATTCGAACCTGCGTCCGGGAGCATCTCAGACGTTGCCTTAATCGACTCAGCTACGACATTCGTTTGTTCCTTTGATGCATCAGGCTATTGTGATTTCTGTGTAGTGTAGTGTAAGCTTCGCTCACCTCCTCTCATCGACTCGCAGAGCTGTAAATCTTTTTTTTTTTTTTTTTTGAGATATATAGAAGAGTTGTTACATTCTTGTACAGCCACTAGTACGCGTAGCGTTTCGGGCAAGTCCTTAATCCTATGGTCCCTGGAATACGATCCCCGCCGCGAAGAATCGTTTTTTCATCCAAGTACACATTTTACTGTTGAGTTAAACAGAGGCTACAGTTAAGGAATTGCGCCCAGTAAATCCTCCCCGGCCAGGATACGAACCCATGACATAGCGCTCGCGGAACGCCAGGCGAGTGTCTTACCACTACACCACGGAGACTGTCCTTCATCCATGTACAACGTCAATAACTAGCCAACAGTGCCGGCAAACCCGACACTATTTACTAATATTAAATACAATAAGTAGATAATATTGCTGCTGTGTTGTATACACAAGTTAACCCATAGAAAATGTAGCCTCTAGTGGAATTTTCCGTCAAGAGAAAACGGAATTTCATTGCCACATCGCTATTAAATTCGCCAGCTATTCTGCTGGGAATTATTCTTAATACAGCAGTCTTTGAACTTTTAACATTATCTTCTTATCTTGAGGTTATCTTGAGATGATTTCGGGGCTTTAGTGTCCCCGCGGCCCGGTCCTCGACCAGGCCTCCACCCCCAGGAAGCAGCCCGTGACAGCTGACTAACATCCAGGTACCTATTTTACTGCTAGGTAACAGGGGTATAGGGTGAAAGAAACTTTGCCCATTGTTTCTCGCCAGCGCCCGGGATCGAACCCGGGACCACAGGATCACAAGTGCAGCGTGCTGTCCGCTCGACCGACCGGTTCCCTTCTCCGACCGGTTATAAAACAATGTCATTTGAATTAACTTAATTATCAGCACCAAAATAGAGTAAATGTGACCTTTCTACCAATTACTGACATCTGAACAAGAGAGCCAGGCGTCAGTGGGAAGAGGTCAGCCATTAAGACCAGAGTCGCTGGAGCGAGTTCAGCTCCTATAATTCTCCCTTGGACAGTGTTATAGGGGAGTAAATTAGTGCTTCTTCTATCATCAACACACAGTCATCATCTAAACAAGGGAACTGTCTTTCCAAAATCTTATCTAAGTCATTCCTGGCCAGTAATGGTAGATAAGATAATTCCGGTTAGGACCAGAGGCAGCGACTCAACCCCAGGTAATTATTCCTTGGTCCTTATCTCAAACAATATAATATACAAATGTTTCCTCTCATATAGCTGTCATATATACATATAGGATTCCGGCTTTACAGCTAGTGCTCTTTGACAGGAAATAAAAGAGGAAGCAAGAATTAATCTTGGTACACCAGTACATGGGTGGTGATGCTAGCCTCAACTAAAAGGATTATTTGGTGTTATCATCCTTGTTTATACCTGGTGGATTAAGCCTACCATACAATAAGACTTCTAAATTTTCATTACTAATATATGTAGTTTAATACTGTTGGCTGCATATATATAAAATTAATATACCCCCTCCCTCTAATGTGCAAGGAGTCGATTTGTGAGAATATTGCAGAAATACAGTCCGCTAAACGTCATACAAACTGCTATCGAAATATATCAATTAATGTAAATATAAACACTATATAAATTCATTTTTCAGTTTTTTGTCGAGTTCAATTTTGTTGCATTTTTCAGTTGAGTTTTCAGTTTCATATAAATTAAATAAATATAAATCTCTCAGGTCGGTTCCCACAAACAGAACCAAAACATCTAGGCTAAACTAACTCATGGGTTATTATACATACAACTCTAACATAATATTTATTTGTGTAGGAGAAAAACTATTTTAACACACAATATGCTAAAATTTATGAATGTGTCGTGGGGAACGACCGCTGCTTTAACGAGCCTATCCAAAGGGCTATTTGGCAAGTTGGATGCGTTTATATACTCCAAAACAGCTGCAAGATCAACGAGCATTCAGGCAATGTTGTGAGGGTGGGGGGGAGAGAGTGAGCGAGGCACTGCACTGAGCAGCACATGAGGAGAGTTCATAAGTAGTAACAGTGGAGGTAGAAATAGCCTAAGCTACTCCATCCCTTTGAGATGTATTTCTTGTCTCAATAAACATACTTGAACGAGTAGTAACAATGAATTTGTGTCCCTCCCGCAGGTATGAGCCTAATGAACAGCACGGGGGCAGTGTTGGTGTGTCTGGTGGTGAGCCTCGTCCTCCTGTCAGCAGTCAACTCTGCCTCCCTCAACAGGTATGTCAACAACGTGCCACGTGTGTATGTCCTACCACAACACCTGGCCTTACACTGCTAACCACCATGTGTATATCTTCTTCAGTCCCCCCCCCCCCCTGCTCGATAGGGTTCGAAAAGTGCTATGGTAAATAGTGAGTTGAGCATTTGAGCACAAAGGTGAGGGGAGGGCCACTCTCTATGGTGTATAACAGGTCACTGGAAACAGGAGACCTACCGGAAAGTTGGAAGACAGCTAATGAAGTCCCAATATTCAAAAAGGGTGACAGGCAAGAGGCACTGAACTACAGGGCAGTTTCCCTAACTTGTATACCATGCAAGGTGATAGAGAAGATCGTGAGGAAAAGGTTCGTAGAGCATCTGGAGGGGAATAGTTTTGTAACGCACCACCAACATGGGTTCAGGGATGGTAAATCGTGCCTCACAGGTTTAATGGAATTCTATGCCCAAGCAACACAAATTAGGCAATAAAGAGAAGGTTGGGAAGACTGCATTTTCTTGGACTGTCAGAAAGCCTTTGACACAGTACCTCACAAAAGGCTGTTACAAAAGTTGGAGCAACAAGCAGGAGTAAAAGGTAAGGTGCTGCAGTGGATAAAGGCGTATCTAAGCAGCAGGAAACAGCGAGTAACTCTGAGGGGGAAGACATCAGAGTGGCGAGATGTCACCAGCGGAGTCCCACAGGGCTCAGTACTTGGACCCATCCTGTTTCTAATATATGTAAACGATCTTCCAGAGGGTATAGACTCATTCCTCTCAATGTTTGCTGATGATGCAAAAATTATGAGATGAATCAAGACAGATGATGATAGAGACTACAGGACGACCTGGACAGGCTGGAGGAATGGTCAAGAAAATGACAACTAAAGTTCAACTCAAGAAAGTGCAAAGTAATGAAATTAGGCGAATGGAGCAGAAGGCTGAACACAAGGTATCATTTGGGAAGTGAAATCCTGCTAGAGTTAAATTGAGAGAAAAATCTGGGGGTTGACATCACACCGAACCTGTCCCTAGAGGCCCACATCAAAAAGGATATCATCAGCGGCATATGCTAGACTGGCCAACATAAGAACTACCTTTAGAAAGTTGTGCAAGGAATCGTTCTGGACCTTGTACACCACTTATGTCAGACCAATCCTGAAATATGCAGCTCCAGCCTGGAGTCCATACCTAGTTAAACACAAGACAAAGTTAGAGAAGATCCAGTGGTATGCCACCAGACTGGTCCCGGAACCGAGAGAAATGAGCTACGAGGAAAGGCTAAGGGAGCTGAACTTCACAACCCTGGACAGCAGAAGAGTAAGGGGAGACATGATGACCACCTATAAAATTCTCAGGGGAATTGACAGGGTGGACAATGACAAACTCTTCAGCACGGGTGGGACACGAACAAGGGGACACAGGTGGAAACTTAGTGCCCAAATGAGCCACAGGGACGTTAGAAAGAACTTTTTCAGTGTCAGAGTAGTTAATAAATGGAATGCACTAGGAAGTGATGTGGTGGAGGCTGACTCCATACACAGTTTCAAATCTAGAAATGATAGAACCCAGTAGGCTCAGGAACCTGTACACCAGTTGCTTGACAGTTGAGAGGCGGGACCAAAGAGCCAAAGCTCAACCCCCGCAAGCACATCTAGGTGAGTACACGAGATGAGGGTTGGCATTGTTTACGTTGTAATGATGACGCAAGAGAAGCCCTTGTTCTCAGGTCTTGGCCCCTACTCCTCAGGGAAGACCTGGATTAAACTTGTTACTGATCGTAAATTCCACACAACCCCCCCCCCCCCTCTCCCGGAGAGTCGCAGGTGTTGGGATCGAACTGTTGATTACATTGCCCAACACGTTTAATTTAGTCTTTTCTAGTGTATAGTTACTCTGATAACTAGAGTTTATAGATAAATCTGGTGTTATCCGAATGTCCTCTCTGACTTAGTCAGGTGTCGTCCTCCTCAGCGTGACCTGTTATCAGGTGTGACACACGGATATAACTCAGCCCTGACTAAGGTCAAAATAAAATATAGGTAAAATTTTATCACGGATATTTATCTATATTACCCAAAAACGTGGGTATCTTATATGTCGAGTTATATATACAAATTACTGGACACTGTACATTAGATGTACAGTTATATATATACTGAAACAATAACAAAGAGAGCAGCATTACTCAACAGTGATAATGGTTCTCTTCCGAACCCTTCTACTTCTCTTGCCTGTATCCACTACGTAATAGCAGAACAGTTCTTGAGACTCTCAGCCAACTACACCAACACGACGGTATATACATACAGCTAACGCAATCGTCTGTAGAACTTTCCTACCTTCTCGTGGCTCAATATTATTATCCTGATGTCGACGGTAGATCTCCAACACTCCCCACGGCGTTGACAGTCACCATCTTCCACGGGTCGTAGTTCAGAAGGGAGTGGATCACCTCGTCACAATCTCGCCCTACGGTTGGTCACACAACTAGGCCGTGTCGACAGGGAGGAAGAGTGTAGAGTATACTGCCCTGCTCAGGTTCTGACCTGTACTCATTGCCTCGCCCGGTGAGTCTGATTGGCCAACAGAATTCCCGCCACCGGACGAGCCACGCCGTGCGGGTCGTTAACAACCTGCATGGTTGTTAAAGTCGTTCCCCCTGTAACATTTAGTAAAAAAGCATTACTCTTAAGTACATCTACTTATACTCTGATGCGACGCAATAACATGATAAAAGATACTTCCTGTAACACAGGGGGGCCACACCCCCCCTCCCCCGGAGAGTGGCAGGGGCCACACCCCCTCCCCCGGAGAGTGGCAGGGGAAGACTAAGCAAGGGGTCCGGGGGTGCCCCGGGTACATTACCAGGCCGGCGGGAGCGGAAGGCCGCCATGAAGAGGACGGAGCCGCTGGGGCAGAAAGGGCGCCATTCTCAGTGATCCCGCGGGAAGCCGGGAGCTCCTGGCGCGGCTTTTACAGGCTTTGGCGCGGGTTTGTCGGGTGATGTGCTTAGCTAGATGTGCTTGCAGGGTTGGGTAGTGACTCCTGGGCTCTGTCACACTGGGTGGTTTATTGTTGGTGTGTGTACTCACCTAGTTGTGCTTGTGGGAGGGGGTTGAGCGTTGGCTCTCTGGTCCCGCCTCTCAACCGTCAATCAACTGGTGTACAGATTCCTGAGCCTACTGGGCTCTATCATATCTACATTTGAAACTGTGTATGGAGTCAGCCTCCACCACATCACTGCCTAGTGCATTCCATCTATTAACTACTCTGACACTGAAAATATTCTTTCTGGTGTCTATGTGGTTCATTTGGGCACTCGGGTTTCCACCTGTGTCCTTTTGTTCGTTTACCACCCGTGTTAAATAAGCTCTTTATCCTATCTATTCCGTTGAGAATTTTATATTTTGTAATCATGTCTCCTCTAATACTTCCGTCTTCCAGCGACGTGAGATTCAAATCATGTGACCTTTGATCTTATCATACCTCGTAGTTCTGGAACTAGTCTGGCGGCAATCCACTGAAGCTTCTCCAACTACTTGTGTTTGAATAGGTATGACCTCGACGATGGCGCTGCATACTCCATGATGGGTCTTACATATGTGGTATACAAGGTTCTCAATTATTCCTTACGCAAATTTCTAATGGCAGTTTTTATGTTAGCCAGCCTGGCATGTGGGAGGGTGTGGGTGGGTGTGGGAGGGTGTGGGAAGGTGTGGGAAGGTGTGGGAGGGTGTGGGAAGGTGTGGGAGAGTGTGGGAGTCTCTCTCTCGCAAGTACACACCTACTACAGCTACTAACCATCTCCAGTATGCAGCCCACAACAGTTCTCTAACTCCCAGACACCTCTATACTGCTAAAAGAACAGCGGCATCAGGGGAAGGGAAAAATGCCAAACTCTTCGCTCCCCTTCTCTCCCCACCAGCCCCTCCCCCCCCCCCCCCATGCCTTTCCTCCCTCCACACTAAAGCAAAAATCGACCAACGGAGCTTAAGAAACTTTTAAGGAAGTGTTCTTAACACATTTAACAAAACTGCCTTATCTGGAGAGCAAATTTTACTAGCTTAGAGGAGCTTGGACGATGACTTGATCGCTGGCTCCACGATGATAGGCCCTCCGTCCCTCCCTGCCTCTCTCTCTGCCTCCCTCCATCCCTGCCTCTCTGCCTCCCTCCCACCCTGCCTCTCTGCCTCCCTCCCACCCTGCCTCTCTGCCTCCCTCCCACCCTGCCCCTCTGCCTCCCTCCCACCCTGCCTCTCTGCCTCCCTCCCACCCTGCCTCTCTGTCTCCCTCCCACCCTGCCTCTCTGCCTCCCTCCCACCCTGCCTCTCTGTCTTCCTCCCACCCTGCCTCTCTGCCTCCCTCCCACCCTGCCTCTCTGCCTCCCTCCCACCCTGCCTCTCTGCCTCCCTCCCACCCTGCCTCTCTGCCTCCCTCCCACCCTGCCTCTCAGCCTCCCTCCCTGCCACCCTGCCACCCTCCCTCCCTGCCACCCTGCCACCCTGCCACCCTGCCACCCTCCCTCCCTGCCACCCTGCCTGCCGTAGACAAGGGAGGGCAGCTGGGGGATATGTACAGGTTTCTGATCGCCAGAAACTTGTTGACACTGTTCCTCGGGCGCGACTCTTGCTCACACTGGGGGAAGAGGCCGGAGTGTCTTGAGAAGTATTTAAGTGTGTGAAGGAGCACCCTTCAGGAAAGTGGCCGAGTCATAGTACGAGGAGAGCCATCAGAATGGAGAGAGGTAACGAGTGGAGTACCTCAAGGGTCGGTACTGGAGCCCATCCTGTTCCTGATATACGTAAACGATCTAACGGAAGAAGTAAGCTTATTCTTATCCATGATTGCTGACGATGCTAAGATAATGGGGCGAAGTAGAACTGAGGAGGACTGTAGTACGTTGCAAGATGAATTAGAGAGTCTCCAGAGATGGTCTGAGAAATGGCTACTAGACTTTAACTAGGAGTTGATATCACGCCATCCCTGTTTCTTGAAGCCCACATCAAAAGAATAACATC